TGAATGTACCTAACTGGAATATTGTAATTGTCATTATGAACTAAAGTTATAGCAATAAAGAAATCAGTAAGAGTGTTGAGCAATTGATCAGAGACATAAAAATTGATGTTCTGTCAATTATTCTCAACAGTGATCATTCGGAAGATTTTAAACTCCTGAAGCAAGTTTTGTAACCTGTAAATAGATAGGTTCTTTGTTCCTGTATCATAATGTGGATATCTCACATTTTGAGTATCATGATGTACCCTATTTCTACATTTGGTAATGAATAAAATCTCTTTTCATTGACCCAAAAAAAAATAAAGAAATCACATTTCTTATTGCATTGAAAATAGAATTGCACAGCATTTTTGGATATTATAAGCTTAACTAGAACATCTTAATTGGTTTTTTAAGAAAAAAATATGAATTGATATAATAATATCTTCAAGTAGAATAGTAAAAAAACAAGTTAAATTAATACTTTATTTCATATTCCAAGCTCTACTGATCCCAATATATAATATGGAGCCAAACAAGAATAGCAATATCATTATGAACTAATGTTCTAGTAAAAAAGAAACTATATTTCTTATTACATTGAAAATAAAATTGCACAACACATTGGGACATTATAAGCTCATGTTTTATAATAACTAATTTTACTAAACCATAATAATCATATGAAAATAAATTGCAAGGAATGGTTCCGAGATACCTTTTCTTACACGAGATAATAAAAATCAACCTATATAATAATATGCATTATTGAAAAGTAGTAGGATTTGAGCAAACCCATAAAGAAATTTATAATGAATCTCAAAGAAACATGAATATTTTAATCAAGTGCGCGTTAATGCAGAACATTGCATCCAGAGAGTAATTGTCCAAAAGTAGTAAGATTAGAGCAAACCTATAAACAAATTTAGAACGAACTCGAAGAAACATGAAGATTTTAAACAATTGCGCATCGTAGAACTTTACAATTAGAGAGTAATTGTCTAAAAAACAGTAAGATTAGAGCAATCCCATACAGAATTTTACAATAAAATTTGAAGAACAAAACATACCTGTAGGCTGTCTAAAAATCACAATGAATAGCTGACCCCTATCAAACTCCGACGACGGAAATCACAATCAGACGAATCCCCAATCACTGCATCCGCAATTCCACAATCGCCACAAACACGACCTCATTTCTGAGATGATTGATCTTGATGGCTGCGACAACAACACGACTAATATTATATTAGCAATTATTGGAGATGCTGATGAGCAGTGTAATGATTTTAGAAATGAAAGGTTGGACTTAGTTGGTGAGTTGCTTGGTAGAGAGTTGTGGGCAAATATTCATCTTCAAAACACTATGGATGTTGATTTCCGTCAAGCTCTCATAATGAAAGCTACAATCAAATAGCTTTCGGGTCGACAATCGGAAGCGGCAAATAGAGGACTTTTCACATAGATCGAGAAGAGTTACAATTCAACGACACTTCCGACAACTGATGAAAACTCTATTCAGCAGTCTTCACAATCTACAGTGAAAGTTACAATCTGACGACTTTCATACACTACAACAGCTAAAGCCAGGATTATTGAACAACGATCCTCGCAACGCTTCACAGAAGAAGTTACAAGTCAAAAAGCTCCTTCTGAAACACGGATGTCATCTCCGCGTTACGACTTGGGAAGTGCAGGCGACCCCCGCGTTTCCAAGCCACCCCCGCGTCTCCAAGATACAAGCTGAACGTGAGTGACCCTCGCGTTCGTAGGGGTCCAACCAACACCGACCCCCGCGTTTCCAAACAGGCAACAAGCCAAAACGCGAGCGACCCTCGCGTTCAATGATGTTCAGCTAACACCCAACCTCGAGGCGAAGTTGGGTGCTAAACGCCTGATTGGGCGTTTGACTCGTTTAAACATGAGTCGAACGGTTTCAGAACCGTTTATCCCACGTTCTGAGGGATTTTCGCCCACGTAGGAGCGGATATAGGGGTCAGTTACAACCTCTTATCCCCCTATAAAAGCTCAACGAACCCAACAGATCAAAGGGTTGGATTTTTGGCATCTGAACCACACAGGTTGGATTCTAAAGATCTAAACCGTACAGGTTGGAGATTTTTTAGTTCTAAAACAGATAAGGGCTGGCGGCTGGCTCTTTGAAAAGAGAAGAGTTAGCAAAGATCGGATTGGAAAGATCTCAACCACTCAGGTTTGGCGATTCAACAGCAACAGCGAAATCCTTGGAGATAGGATTTTTGAATGAAGCTCAAAAGATCAAATCTGAGAGGATTCTTCAACAACAGAATAACGGCTTGATCATTAACCGAATTTTCGGTTCTAACAACTCTGTTCGCAGAGTTCTAACTCGTTCAGAGTTCTTAAACTCATTCAGAGTTAAACGTCAAACTTTACACAGAAGTTCGTCGTTCCCACGAGATAAGAGACGGTCGGATCGTCAACGGAGAGCAAATTCGACGCGAGCAATCGAAGGAGGCACTCTATCGCTACCGAGAAGAACCCATTTTTAAACAAAGGAGAGAATCAAATTCGTTCTCTTCTCTTTTGTGATCAAGTTGTAATCAAAATCAAAGAAATACAAATCATTTTTCTTTATTCTTTTCATTGCAATTTTTTCCTACAAACAATACCAATTACAAAAAAGACAGGGAAATACACCTATAATTGTCCAAAAGAAGTAATAAAAGACAAAAACTAAACAATAATGGTAACTATAATATAATTTTATGTGAAGAAAGCAATCACATAAGCATACAAAACTACTAATAATGTTGTATGGAAATCCCTTATAAAATTCCTAATCTACTCAGAAATTAAGATATGATATAAAATGATCAAAAAAATATTATCATTTATTATTTTTGTTTCATATTCTAATTGGACTAAGATCAATCTTCTTCACATTTATCTATTTCCTGGGCAATTCTAGAATAGCATCTTCATCATCTACGTCGATTGTAATATCAGGCTGGAGTTGGATTTCTTGTGCTATTATATTTTATTCGCCTCGTTCATCTTTTGTTTTTTCATCTAACTTTATCAAGATTTTGAATGTTTTTTCAATGTTCAACACAAATTTATGAAAATATGGACTCTGATTATTTTTTTGTTTCAATGAGAACAAATGTTATTTTAATATATATGTAATTTTTTTTATTTTCTAAATTAGTACTTGAATAGAGTTAAGAATTACCTCTTTTTTGTAATGATTTTTTCTGCTATTAGTACTTATAGTTATTATGTACAAGAAAATCAATAAGTAAATTATATTTTATGACATATAAGCAAGGTTTATGGCATCCACGATGATCAGCAAAAAAATTAATAAATGATATCAAATACTGAGAAGGAAGCAACAATTCTTCCAATAATATCTTTAGATTTCGTAAAAATGAGTCGTCGCCTTATATCCACTTACATGTTTATACACACACTTGAAAGCAGAGTAGTAGTTGCCATATCATGATTCATGTTCTGCTTTACATTTCAAATGTTGAATACAGGATGCACAACAAATAGTTAGGGGTGGAAATGAACCAAATAATTAACAAATAGTTCGATAATTGTTCGAACAACTATTCAGTAGTTCATTTACCACTAAACAAATATTTTCTAGTAAACAAATATTCAGTTCATTTACCACTAAACAAATAGTTCGATAATTGTTCGAATAACTGAATAACTATTCAGTTATATTCGATTCAGTAGTTCATTTACCACTAAACAAATATTTTCTAGTATTCGAGTTTACTAACGAATAGAATTTAACCAGATGTATATTCGATTCGTTTGTCTATTAAATATTCGTTTAAAATTTGACCGCAGCTTATTATTTGTATTATTGCACATATAATGTCATATTTTTAAATCATTTACCATTTCTACTTAAGTTTTATATACTGATTTTAAGACTTAAATAATCTTAAATATGTTTTCTAATTAATATATATATATAATATTATAAAGGAATAATTTTTACTTATGAATTTTAATATTATTTGAAAATTAAATTGTTTAGCGGAATAAATTACTTTGATATTCGATAAGTATTCGTGAATATTCATGAATATTTATCAAATACCAAGTATTCGAGTTCCAATTCGAAAAACTTGATATATGAATATTATAGAGTCCGCATTCAAATTCGATAATTTTAAACAAATACAAATATGAACATTGTGGTATTCGATTCGATTCGATCGTTTACCCACCCTACCTATAATACAAAGCTGACCAACTTTTCTGCACCAGTAAAATTAAATAACTACAAAATTAAAGTGCAGGGTGGAGCTTCTCTTAGATGTGAGAACCACGTTGTCGTAATGAGCCTTTTCACTTGAGGGCATCTTTGGGTTTTATCGAGTTGAATCCAAATCGATTAGATCATCCACTGGACCCACAAACTAATTAGATGCATCTCAAAAACACAGCAACATAACGCAACCTAATATAAAAACTATTTAACTTCGTTAAATAGCCCATATAATAACGCAACCTAATATAAAAACTATTTAACTTCGTTAAATAGCCCATATACATTCCACTAGTAAAGTTCTGAAGAAGACTAGCCAGGGTAGTGCAGATGAAAACTAAAAACAAACACAGCAGTAAACTAAGCCTATTACAATTAACCATCTAATTACGTAGAACTCTTAACAGGAGTAACTCTTCGCTTTCGGCATTTGCACGGTGTAATCATCCTTCGCACTCTACTACGACCCGCACGAGCCGTCAACAAGATCTCACACAGCTGCGAAAGCGAGATTGATTACTACCAGCTGTTTGCTTCCATGACTGCTGTTCAGTCGGCAGCTGGTTGCGCGCACCTGGCCTGACGCGGCGCAGGTGTCGTTGTCGTCGGGAGGAAGGTGCGGCGCTTGATGCGTAGGATCGAGCGGAGGAATGCAGAGCGAGCAGAGGTGAATGCAGAGGAGCAGAGGTGAATGCAGAGGATGGGGCTGAAGAAGCCATTAGTTGTGCATGAATGAATTGGATCGAAAATGAAGAAGAAGAAGACGACGAAGAAGAAGAAGCTAGTTAAGCAACAGTGCAGGTAAAGGTTATATAATGGACAAATTTTCAAAATTATCCCTTTTGCAATTTTATTCCCAAAAAATGATCTCTTTAATTTTTATTTGTAAAAACCGACATGGTTTCAGCCTCAGCGCTGAAACCAGGTCGGTTTTTCCAAATTTTTTGAACTGTGAAACTTCACGGGAGTTCAACTTCTGTGAAGTTTCAGAATTTTTTTTGTAAAAACCGACCTGATTTCAGCGCTGACGCTAAAACCAGGTCGTTATTTACAAATAAAAAAAATTAGTTATTTTTGGGAATAAATTTACAAAAGAGTTTGTTTTGAAAATTTTTCCGATATATAATTAATTGGGTTGCTTGCAAACATGGGTGACGTCGGTGATCATGGTTCCTTAATTAATTAGTAGGGGAGTTGGTTAGCTAGCGGGTAGCTCCCGCGTAGGTCTTCTGGTTCAGAAGCATTCAACTCAGCTATACCTAATATCAGGTTAATTTTCATAAAGTTCAAAATTTTCTTTATTTAATTGTTTTTAAATTAAGCTGCCTTGTACTTGTATGGAACTTTTGGTTACTGGCACGCTCCCCCCAAGAAATCACTGAGCGTTTGATTGCCTCGATTTGTTTTTTAAAATGTTCTAGAAAAGGAATCTTTATTTAAAATTGCTAAATATATTAAATCAAGGATACAATGGATAGTGCAGGGTGACAGATGTACAAATTACTTTCACTCTTCAATCAAGGCTAAGAGGCATCTTAATAGAATTAATCTTCTGTATAATGGTGCAGGTGATAGAATTACTGATGGTGAGGGAATCATTCAAGAATTTATCTCCTTTTATAAGAATCTTATGGGATCAAAAACTGTTACCCCAAAGCCTGACTGTAATGTCATTAGCAAAGGGATCTGTTTAAATGAAGCTCAAGCAATTGCACTCTCCTCTTCTGTGACTAGGGAGGAAATCAAAACAGCTGTTTTTTCCATGGATGATAATAAAGCTCCAGGTCCTGATGGATTTAATATGTCCTTTTACAAGTCTGCATGGAGTATTATAGGAGATGAAGTTTCACAGGCAATTCTTGATTTCTTCAGAACTGGGAAGCTGCTTGGTATGATTAACTCAACTTCCATATCTTTAATCCCTAAAGTGAAATGTCCAAAGACCCCTTCTGATTTCAGACCTATTGCATGTTGTAACTGTCTATACAAGATTATTTCAAAAATTCTAGCTAACAGGATTAAGTCAGTGATGGGTTTTTTAATTAATGAGGCTCAAAGTGCCTTTGTTAAAGGAAGGCAAATATCAAGCAACATCTTGATGGCTCATGAGATTGTGAGGAGTTATGGCAGGAAGCACAATTCACCCAGGATCATGATGAGTATAGATATCAAGAAGGCTTTCGATACCATAAGTTGGAATTTTCTTAGAGATATGCTTGCTAGTCTGGGGTTCCCTGATACCTTTACAAACTGGATCATGATGTGCATTACATCCCCAAAATACTCTATTTCTTTGAATGGCACACTACATGGTTACTTCAAAGGAGAAAAGGGTTTGAGACAAGGTGATCCTATCTCTCCCTATTTGTTTACTTTGGGTATGGAGTTCCTGTCAAGAAAATTAGACATGCTTAAAGGGGACAGATCTTTTAAATTTCAGTCGGAGGTTTGCATCTCATGGACGAGAGAGAGGAAGAAGGAGAGATGATGGCGGCGGAAGAGATGAACAGTAGAGGGAAAACGAAAACATATACATATATCCTCTTTTAAACAAAATCTCAGATCAATTACAAGCTTGTCTGAAAAATAGAGCTCTGTCTTTTGCTGGAAGATTACAAATTATTAAGAGTACTATACTTGGCATCCAGATATATTGGACTTCAAATTATATTCTTCCTGTTAGAGTATTGCAGAAGATTGATCAAATGTGCAGGGACTTTTTATGGGGCAAAACAGATCAAAAGCATAAAATTCCTCTGGTTTCTTGGGACAAAGCCTGTTTGAATAAAAGGCTTGGTGGTCTTGGCATCTACTCAGCAACAATTTGGAATTTGGCAACTATGCTGAGATTAATATGGCATATCCATATTAATAAAGAGAGTCTATGGATCAAATGGATTCACAGTGCATACTTAAGGAATGATGATATATGGCATGTTCAGGCTAAAAACTGGGACTCATGGATGTGGAAGAAAATTTTGAAAATCAGAGATAAAGCTGTTAGTTGTTGTGGAGGTCTAAATAACTTGTTGCTGCTCATCCAATCTTGCTCTGATAATTCTAGAATCCAGATTTCAGCATTGTATAATGCTCTCTCCCCTAATTCTTCAGTTGTGCCATGGCATAGAACAGTTTGGGAGACTACTAACTTCCCCAGTCACTCTTTTATCTGTTGGTTAGCAATCCAAGATAGGTTGCTCACTATTGACAGACTGATTAAGAGGGGATTAATGAATACTAACAATTGTTGTCTGTGTTCTGGTTCCGAAAACAGAAACCATCTTTTCTTTGAGTGCTGCTATTCAAGAGAAGTTTGGCTAAAAATTATGGATTGGCTCAGATTCAAATGGCAGTCCTGTGATTGGAATCAGCTTGTGATTTGGTATTGTGATAGATTGAAGGGGAATGGATTCAAGCAAAGGATCAAAAGAATGGCACTAACTACAGCAGTTTATAGTATTTGGAGAGAAAGAAATTTCAGAATTTTCAGGCAAAAAGCAAGGTCAGCTGATCAGCTTTTTAAGGATATCAAATTCAGTGTTTTTTCTTTTGTTCTCAATGGCTCATTTAAAGCAGAAGACAGAGAATGGATCATTTCACTTTGATAGTCAGTGAGGAGAGCAATTAGCAGGTTCATTTAAAGCAGAAGACAGAGAATGGATCATTTCACTTTGATAGTCAGTGAGGAGAGCAATTAGCAGGTTCAGATGCTGTTAGTTGGGATCATTTCACTTTGATAGTCAGTGAGGAGAGCAATTAGCAGGTTCAGATGCTGTTAGTTGCGATTGAGGTGAAGTTTTACTCAGCTGCTGACAGTTGCTGAGTTTCTTGATTGAGTTCTATGTTCTTTGTTTTCTAAATGTCAAATTTGATATCTCATACATATTGATGAGATTCTTGATGTATATTCATTCTTACATTTTGTGATGAATAAAATCTTTCATTTACCAAAAAAAAAAAAATTTATTTATTTTTCTTTTTTTTTCTTTTAAAAACTAAATGCTTGAAAAAATTACACGTGTGTTGATGACAAACGAGCAACGAGCTGCGCCGCTAATCCTTTCTGAATTGCAAAACCTAACCTACGAAACACGTACTTAGCCGACTACGCTGTCGCCACATTCTTATTCATGAATTTCTGTACCCTCCTGAGGAACTCCACCGCATCAGTTGCAAGGAAACCAAACGTATCGAAAGCGAACGGGATGAAGCTGTGGTAGTTGTCCTTGCAAGCTTGATCATTTTTCTTTACTTTTTCTTTTTTAATTAGTATCTGTTTGATTCGCATCATTTAAGGATGTACATGCATTATTTGGATCATTTTGTAGCATGTTAAGTAGAATCGTTTTGTTACCATATTACTCTAATTTCATGAAATTATGTGATCCTCTTGTAGTATGTATATTGGTATCCGAAGATGTATAATTAAACCTACAATATTTACAGGAAGGGTTTTTTTTCCGGATATATACGCCTTACTAATATTAGCTACCAGACCTAGCGCTACCTAGCCAACTGCCCTACTAATCAGTAATCATGATCACCAACCTCTCAAACCCATGTGAGCAAACGACCCAATTAATTGACCTCTCAAAATTTGGCATAATAAGCTGTCAGATTTGATGAGCTAAAGGATACATTTTGACTTAATTAAATTGAACTTCCACACAAATATTTCATTCCTTATTTATTTTAATGACAAATGGAAAGAAATGTCCTAATTAATGATTCAACAACTAAGCATGGAAGGAATAAGGAAAGAAAGAACTCCTTAACAAAAATTTGTGCTTGTGCTAACCATATATATAAATTCATCCGTAGAAAGACTCGAAATCATATATATTTCCATCTTATAGAAACCTAAATGGAAATCATGCAGTAACCATATATGTATCCATCCTATTAAAGGCCGGCCTTAACCATTGTCCTCAAGCGACAAAATAAACAAAATGGCATTCACAAAGTTCTACGGTGTAGGGCTTATTTTCCTTTACCTTGCCCTTTGTGGCAAAGGATCGAGTTGATGGTATAGAGACAGGGAAACGAACCACTCTGGTATATACATTTTCTTATTCTTTGCGTCCAATAGGATAGACTGTGCCACTTTAATTCACTGGTTGTTTGGTTAATACATGCATTTTTATGGATATTTTCTTTTAATGATAAAATTGTTGTTCTTGCATCCGATTATTTATATATGTATAGGAAAAAAAATTTGGAGGGTAACCTGAATTTTTACGTTGTAAATTTTTTTTTTTTGGATGCAGAACGAGGACTCCCAATAAAATAGATGGCAGAGAAAAGGTTCCGTTTCGAGGAAAAAATTATGCTTCTAATGATACTATTGTTATGAATGCCGTATCTAATCGTCTTGAACATGTGAGACTTATTCGCCAGTCATTTAAAATTGATCAGTTTATTTAATTACATTTTATGAACTTAATTAAAATCTTGATTGACAACGCGTATTTAGTTTTCATCCCTTTCTATTTAATTTCATGTTCAGTTTGCAATATATCGAAGTGGCGAAGGACAATATGGAATTGAAGCCGAACTCGTCGTCTACGCGTTAATAAAAAGTTCAACGTGACCAGTTGACTACAGTATCTCTTGATGTTGCTGGTGGCTTAATTGGATGGTCCGACTGAAGATTTCAATTCAATAGTAGCCGGATGGCATGTGGTTTCTTCTGACTGACTAAAGTGACTAGAAAATTAATCTTGAAACAAACTATTAAGGTCATAAGCTTGAATCCAAGTCTGAACCTTATACCATAAGCTTGATGCAAACTATTATCTATGAGAGGTCAAAATATTAAGCAAACTATTATCTATGAGAGGTCAAAATATTAAGCAAGTACCTATTTGTGTGCATGTTGACAGCTAGCCGTTTGTTGCATGCGTTGCATATGAAACGCATGAAGTAATTGCATTCTATATTTGTCAATTCTGTGGGCTACCATTTGATTTCATGGTGAAAGTCATGGGCAGGCATCTATACGAAAATGCAATGATGCATGTGACAGCCTATGTTACCAATATTATTTTTTCTTTCATCATTAAACCTATATGGCTATATATACTGCCTTTTTGTTCCGTGGGACGCGCAAACGCAAACTGCATGTCGTGCTTTTCAGCTGTTGTGATCATGAAAATGATTTTGAAGCCATCTGAGCGCCTTAATTTGTGAGCTGCTATTCATGGTTACAGCCCTATGTTTTATGTGTAGGCTAGGTTTGTTAGAAAATGGCAAGGAAATGGACAAAATGGCAATATATATATTATTGATCAAATTAACAAAATAGCAAACATAATGTAACCTCTAAAAAGGGTCTCTCGGCTTGAAGTCCTTTTCAAATTTCAGTTCCCATCCTTTTCGATCTTCTGAGCTTTTCCTCTACATTCTAACCTATATATGGAGGACCCGAAGGGCATTATTCATGTGATCGAGTTGTACCAAGTTTTTTAAGTAAGGCATGCAGGGAGCCAGCTAAGGCCTTCCAAAACAATCAAACGGGACGTACAAGATGCATGCTAAGTTCTTTAAATGATCGTGCCCTCAATTTTGAGTTCATTTTTCCTATCGCATCAAGATGCAGATATCTGCAATTTGTATTTTACCAAATAAAAACCTCCCCCGACTTTTCCTGATGTACTCTATGGTTTTCTTAATGCACAATCGTTTTCTTAATGCACAACCATTTTCCTTGTGTGTATGTTGCTTCAAGTTATAGCTGTTGCAGTTCAAGTTGTTTTCAAAAAGTGACTACACGTACTTTTTGTTTCTCTTAAGGACTTTCATGAACTTAATTTCTTTGCAGTGGAATTCCATTAGACAATTTACTAGAACTCTGGACCCGTGGGTACGCAGCTTGAATTTATTCTAAAATGTTAGACTCTGGAGGGAAAAAAAACTGCTTTTACGGAATTGATTACTTAAACAAATTCAATATTTTATCTTTTGCTCATCTTGCAGAGATATCATTAGTGTCTGTATCAATGCGTGGTCCTAAAATACCATTTATGAGATGTAGGAAATTTTAATGGGACAATACAATAAGAGAACTTACAGGCTTTGGAGTTGTAGGACTTCTAGTTCAAGAAAAGGGAAGGAGATGAATTCTACGAAACTTAATTAGATGAACTTACAGGCTCCCGTGGTCCCCAGGTCGATCCCAAACGCATTTTCTGTTGAGCACATGCAGCTCATTAGGTCGATGTAATCAATGAAGATCATAATGGAAGTTCTTACAAAAGCCCAAGTAGTAACAATGTCGACATGTTTACCGTGTTTTGGGTTTCCACTTCGGGCGCAAGTTTCTTGGACGGGTGAAATATACCCCTCATCTTAATTTCTCTCCAAATTAGTATATATATATACATGATAATAAACTGTCATACTATATTTAGAGACGTACGCGTTGATAACCTCCTGTGAACGTGAGGGCCATGTGGGTCACTACATTAATGAAGCGGACATGTGTATGAAGCGGAGCAAAGAAAAGAGAACGTGGGGGCCACCACATGAATGAAGTGGAGAGAGGCAGGACGCGTGTTTCTTTTCCGCGTGATGAAGCGCGGCCCACCCGTTTGTCGCAAAGTATAAAATACCGTGGAACCTAGGTTTTCGTGCGGGTGTGCAAGAGGGCAGTGGCTTTGTTTGCTTTTCTTCTTTGCGGCTGAGGCAGAGAGCATAGGAGGCTGGGTGCGCAGGGAGTTCGGTTTTGTTTGTGGCGGGCTGCAGTTCGTGGAAGCAAAGTGCCAATTGTTTTTGTTTGTTTTCTTGTGCTTGAGCAGCCCCTCTAGGGTTTGTGGCATCCTTTTGTAGAGAGATAGTTTGTGAGGGATTTGAGAGAGTTTGTTTGAGGGTTTAGATTGAGTGAGTTGTAAACCCATTA